TTATATTCAAATAACTTCCAAATAAAGTATATAGTGCAAAATTTTTAGTAATTTAAATACATGACACTGAAATGCTAAACCCTCTACAAATTTATTTTAAAAATAGCAGCTCTTCTGGATTACTATGCTACTTTCATAAGGTTAAAAATCACTAATCATGTGCCCCTCTAGGCACTCAAGCCACTTTGATGTTTTGTTTCGGGTGAGGCCACCTTCAGGATCCTTTTGTTCAGCTGCACCTGGGCCCGCACAGGGGCAAATCTAATTAATCGAAATGCCTATAGGTGGGAGGTTACACTCATTATTTATTAAGCAACTGCTAGTTATCTCATCACTAGATTCATGGCAGAGACAATGAAGTAAGGACCACGGTCTCTAATGAAGACAAGAATATGTAGTAGAAATCGACCAACGTGTCCCCTCCTTTCAACCTCTCTGGCCATCAGATGAGAGATCTGACAACCATTCATGTAGCAGCTGTGGTCATCCACCCAGAAAGTGGATCATTTTAATGGATCTACTGAGCTCATGCATACCATGAGTCATGATTAAAGGAGCTGTCTTGAAAGCTTCAGTAATTATGAAGCTTTCTGCTCATTGCCCTCTCTAGTGGTTGCCCACCAGTTCCTACCTCCCACATCATATTGGAGGTCTTTTTAAAAGAATAATTTTTAGACCTACACACTCACAATATATCCAAAATAGCAGGCAAAGTGAAAATTTGCATTAAAGAGAAACACCTTAACCATCACGGTTTTTGAAGGTCCCAACTGGCGTCCTGACTGGGTAGCTCAGTGGGTTGGGTGTCATTCTGCAAACCAAAAGGTCACAGGTTCAATTCCAGGCCAGGGTACATGCATGGGTTGCAGGCCAGGTCCCCCGCTGGGGGCACGTGAGAGACAACTGATCAACATTTCTCTCACACATCAATATTTCTCTCCCTTTCTCTAAAAAATAAATACATAAAATCTTTCTTTCTTTCTTTCTTTTTTTTTTTTTAGAAAATCCCCATTGGGGAGTGGTGTTCAGCGCTTCCTTTTCCAGTCCTGATCCACTTTCACTATATGTGGCTAATGATGGAACTGCCACCCATTGCCTTGGCAACACATCTATGTGCTAAAAAAGGAAATAAACCTGAGGTTTATTTTAAATTTCCTATCTGCCAGGTCTCTTACATTAATTTAGAAAATACTTTTTAAAAGCAATAAGTAATAATGCCTACAAATAGTAACAGGATAATATTTCATGAGAGAAGACAATCATGAAAATGTATTAGAGTTTTTTTTTAAATATGAATCAAAGAATTTTGATGCCATACATGTTTTCTGTGTTATCCATTAAAATATTATTTCTGCTCTAAATTGTATACTATAGTCATTTAGTAACTTCCTGAATTTTTCACATATTGAAATTTACCATACTGAAGTTTATATATGGTTAAAGGAAATAAAATTACTCTAAGGAAGCTTTAACCCTAGTTGAAAACAATGAAAGATTAGTGCTTTAAAGCTATAGTGTGTAAATCAAATTAAAATGCCAATATAAAACTCAAGAATTTCTGAATCATTATTGTAAGTTTCCAGCAGAAGATAACTGTAGCCCTATAATTCAGTTATCTGTTATTTACATTCCACTTTTACATTCCTGTGGTTTATCTTTTCCTTTTATCAAATTCTGTTGGTAATGAAAAAACAAAAAAAATAAAATTTTTCAAAACTGGACCTTGACATCAAGAAGTAGTAGATTGTAGAGTAGCCAAACACACAGAAGCATTCATAGCATTTTACTTCCACGCTTCAATTTGTTGGCTAGAAGCTACCTTTCACAGTTATTCCAGGGCTTGCTCACAATTTAGGAAGTCTGCTAGGCAGCTTTCCCAGGAAACATGGCAGGGCCTGCATTTTGTGGGAATGGAAGCACACCTAGACTACATTTTGGAGCACAATGCCAGAGTCTGCATACTTCCTTACCCTGTAATTAACTATTGCTATTACAACAGGATTCTCATCTACAAAGGGAGCCTTTTAATGAGTTTATATGTTTATCTTATTTTCAAAAGGATTGTTTTTCTGAATCATTGAATTCTGAAAGTAGTTAAAAATTATCTCAGTGTTGTTTGTTTTTTTTTATTTATAGGGAGTATTACATAGCTAATTAATTGACTACCTGGAATACATAATGATATCTATTTGACTTTTTAAAAAACAAGTTACCAGCCCTGACTGGTGTTGCTCTGTGGGTTGGGCGTCATCCTGCAAACTGAAAGGTCCTGGTTCAATTCCCATCTAGGGCACATGCCTGGATTGCAGGCTAGGTCCCCAATGTTTCTCTCCCTTTTCTTCTTTCTAAATATAAATAAAATATTTTTAAAAATAACTTACCAAAAGAGTATGGAAACCTAAATAATCATTATTAGCAGTTGTTGAGTACTCATTATATACCATGTAATATACTAAGTGCTCTTACAAATCATTCATTCATTCATTCAACATACACCTCTTGTCTACTACGTGCACTATTCTAGGGCCTGGAGAAGAACAGTGAACAAAAAGAAATCCCTCATTTCATGGCATGTGCGCTGCAGTAAGAAAACAATTAAATAAGCAAATTTACAAAAATAAACAATTAAATAAAGCATGTGTCATGAAAATAAGTGCTATGTGTTTGTGTAAATAAAGATCTCATTTTCAAACAAGTTGACATGAGAAGAGATCTGAAGAAGGTGATAAAATCCAAAATTGGATCTCAGGGTTGGGGGAAATGTTGATTAAAGAGCAATTATTTATTTAGGATTTCTTATAACCACTTATCATTTAATCCTTCCAGCAGCACCTCATGGTAGGTTTTTTTATTGCTCCCACTTTGAAAATGTAAAGAAACTTGCTTAAAGCCACACTACTTACAAAGAGCAGCGAAGATTTTACCCATATCTGCCTCACTCACAAACTGTGCTTTGGATCATCTTTTTCCTGTCACATTACCCAACAATCCAAAATCAAGATTTCTACATGTTCTATACTGGTACCTACCTAATAGGATAGTGAATTACAACATCACATTTAAAAAGAAAAAAAATCTACTTGAGAAGAAAAAAGTAAGTGAGGTTCATCTCAATCAAAGAAATAAATGAAAGGAAAAAAAAAAAAGCCTCTCCACTCCCTTCTTGAGGGATCTAGATGGAAGCAGAGCAGAGCTTGTAAGTAAGTTCTGGCTCTCCACACACAGAAAAACCAAAGGATGCCCTAGCGGGCCCTGTAATGACAGGAACTGAAATCACCTCTCAAAGCAGCACTCTCAGAGCTGCCAAAAGAGGTCCTAAGTAAGGAGTGGGAGGCGGGGAAGAAGAGGGTAGAACAGAGTTTGTTGTGGGAAGTCTCTATCACCACTTCCCCTTCTGTTCACCCTTCTCTTTTCAACAGAATCTTAGCAGCAGGGTTGGATATTTTCATTCGGCCACATAAATAAGCTGGTCCCAAGGCATTATCTACCTCAAGAGTGATCCTGCTGGGACAGGAGGAATTGATTTCAAGACCTACCATCCACATGATTTAACCACTACATTTCACAAGGACTTACTCATGTGGCCGACAGAGAACGGGTGGCTGCAGTATCACCATTTCCTTGTTTAGGATTGGAGCCCCTTGATTTCCCCTTACTCCCTGGAAGCTCCTGTACCCGTGCATTAAGGGTATCTGTAAAGATTAAAGGGCAATGACTAGGGAAGTGGGGAAGCGGGGAGCTGTGTCCTCCAGCCATTCCAGACCTGAGTAAGTGGAGTTCTACAGTAACTGAATGATTTGAGGGAAAGTGAACATACAAACCCAAGCAATCAAAGGAAAATTAGCTTACTTAATACCAGCGATAGGTATTTTTCTTTCTGCCTCTCAAATCCAAAGAGGAAAATCTGGACGAGTGGCTTAGGTTGTAAACTCTAAGGTCAAGGACCCTTGAGCTTCGTTCTCAAGTTCTCAGTAGTCAGCTAGGTGTGAAACATAATTAATAGCACGATAAATATAAGTTGCGGAAAATGCGATTCAAAGTCAGAGGCCCCTTCCATGGGCCCCCTACAGAGCCTGTCATAAAGAAGACTTAATCAACATTAGCAGGGCTATTAAAAAGTATCGCCTTTTAAAAGTGTGCTCTTCCCTGGCGCCTCTTACTGGAGCTTCTCTGTGTGGGTGTGTTCGTAAGAGAGGAGTCGGTGAGCAGAGTGTACTGGGTACAATGTGTATTCGTAAGGGGAAACAGATTTCAGTGAGGATGAACATATGTTTCGGAGACTACATCTGTGCAAAAATTTGTACATAGTCCCTGAAGTTGTACTAAGAAAAAAAAAACTACCGTATTATAAAAAATCTTTAATTTCACACATGGTATCTTGGCACATTTCCCTTATACTGCCTTTTCTGCCTGACTAAATAGCCCTTTCTCATCCTCAGGTCTAGGAAAACCACGAAACGTTTCGAACAGTCTGACACAAGCTGACTAACCAGATTTGCTTACTCACTAGGGGACCCCAGAGGCAAACCTCAGCCCAGTGAGACCTAAGACTCTTCACGGCACACCTGCCCGGAAGGCGGCCGCTACCCAACCCAGAGGCTATCCCATCCTTCGAAGGCAGGGCGGAGGCCAAGTTAAGGTAACTAAACTTGGGCGCGGTTCTGGCATGCGGTGTCCTAGGTGATTCCAGAGCGTGCGCGAACCCCGGCGGCCCGCGCCCTCTCCCCACCTCCCCGGGGGCGGGCCCAGCTCTCCAGGTGCCGGCGCCTGCAGCCGGCTCCGCCCCCACTCCCGGGCCGTAAGCGCCTGCCTGGCGGGAGCCGCGCCCCCTCCTTCGGGGAGGCTGGACTCTAGGGTCCCCGTGGTCTGGCTTCCCTCGGCGCGGGCCTCCCACCGGCGCTGGGGGCGGAGTTGGAGGCGGGGCCGGAGCGGTGAGGCGGGGCTCGCACCAGTGCCCCGGGCTATGCTGCAGCTTTACCCGCTGGTCTCGCGGCAGACGAGCGGCTCGATCGCTTCCTTCGGTCCGATGGCAGCCCCCGGCACACACGCAGAATGCGGCTACATCCGCACGGTCTTGGGTCAACAGATCCTGGGGCAGCTGGACAGCTCCAGCCTGGCTCTGCCCTCCGAGGCCAAGCTGAAGCTGACGGGGAGCAGCGGCCGCAGCGGCCAGGCGGCCAAGAGCCTGCGGATCCAGGAACAGGTGCAGCAGACCCTGGCCCGGAAGGGCCGCAGCTTCGTGGGCAATGGTGAGTGGAGCTCCGCCGTCCCCCTGCACCGCACCGCCGTGACCCGCCCCCCCCCTTCCACCTCCCCTACCCACTCCCTCACCTCTCAGCTCCCCGTGGCTTCGACTCGCTGCTTCCTGAGGGTGCGGGACCTGGTGTCCTGCCCACCTGTTGCTCGCGGTCCCTTTGTACGAGCCGCCGCGCCTCCCGACTCAGACCGGCTTTCTTGGGGAAAGCACTCTTTTCTAAAATAATCTCCGACTCAGCTTTGTCATACATGTATGTACGTATATGAAATGCACATACATATCTGTGTGAAAGAACTCAGTCCAAGACTTCCACTCTGTCTTTAACCTGAACCCCTTGCCCCTCTTCTTCCGCCCCCCATACCCGGGTCTTAATCTGGAGGCACCGGATGTCTGTAAACACTTTGAAATTTTATGCAGAAATTCAGTATGATCATTTTTGGAGGAGGAAGCACCCCTAGCCTTTCTTGGATTTTTAAATATTTTGAAAAAGAAAACCTGAAAGTACTAGCGCTCCTATAAACTGTAAATTGGGATTGCAGTGCCTCGCGCAGGTACGTCGGGGCGTTCGATCCGCTGTAAGGAGGAAAGGGTGATCTAGGAAGTGAAAATACTGATTAGGAGGCTTTGAGCCAGGGAACTAGCACACCACCCGCGGAGGAAGAGGGGGAGGAAGGGGACTTTGACCCCATCCCTCCCGCACCCGCACCCTCTCAGCCAAGAGGTAAAAGGGATTTTTTAAAAAGTAAAACACTGTATCAGTAATTGCTAGTCAGGGCATAATTGATGGAAGGTGAAGCAGTTGGCAAACTATTATAATTGTAAAAATTAGAAAACGTGAAATAGTTTCTCCCTTGCTAAAAGCCAGATAATCAGAGCCACACAGTCTCTCCTTTATTAGTTAATTTATTTTTTTCATTATAAAAGTATTATAGACTTATAGAAAGGAGAAGAGGAAAGAAATTGAACAGTTAATTAAATTGGGTTATCAGTTTGTTTCTTGCAATATTGAACTGTTTCTCTAGGAAGTAATAGGGCAATGGCAAATGGAGAACACATTAGGAAAAAGAAAAACAATGGCAGACCAGACTAGAAATTTAAAACAGCAGACCATGAGAGGGTGTAGTGTTTTCAACTTCTGTAAAAGAATCATAAAGGATCAGGCAGTCAATATTTATATACTTGAAAGATAAATAGAGATGTTTAATAACTAATGTAACTGAGTGCCTACTATGTGCCAAGAATTAAACTACGTGTTTTGTGTTCATTATGCTCTTTATGCTCTCCCTCCCCCCAACACACACAAAGTCTTGTAAGATAAATTCTTTAATCTCCATTTTACGGATGAGGACACTAAAGTTAGGTAACCCTCGGTTCTTACAGTTAGCAGAGCTGACTTTAAACTTAAAAGCTTGAATTTTTAAACCACTCCTCAGTTATATTACTAAGCTTTTTGGTTATTAACACAAAGTAGAATTTTTATTAGACACTAAGCCCCCTCCCATATTTCCTTAAATACAACTGAAGTGGTTCTGAGAGAATGGGGATCTAGATAACACAGAATTGACACAGTGCATAGAAAAAAGAAAGCCACCTAAATTTACATTTAGGAGGCTAACTAACCACTGCAAGACAACAGAGGTCAGTTTTTGACCCGTGGAGTCACTGCATCCCTTTCGTCTGTGCAGAACCAGTGCCATACTGGAACCAAAGTAGCTTCTGCTTGGGGGACACAGGGATGCACATCAGACCTTCATTTGTACCCTCTGAGAATGGCTAGTTAGAAGGAACAACCAGGCATCAACTATTCAGTAAATGGGGGGAATGATCAGAGGAAAAGGGAGAATTGCCGAGCATCTACTATGTGCCTAACACTGTTCAAGAATGTGTGTACATTTTATTATATCCTTAAAACAATTAAATGAGATAGACATGAGGAGTAATTTCACATATGGCAAATGTGTTGGTCTCTCAACATTTATTGGATGCTTAGACCCAAATGCAAACATGATCTGTCCTCTCTACAACATGTGAATTCATGTTGCTTCCTGAATTCAAGAACAATCAAATGGGTCTGTACTCCATGCAGGTGCTTTAAAGCGAACTCTGTTTGCTTTAAAGCAAGGAATTAAAAGTCTGAAGAAGGAAACTTTCCTCTAAAAAATGAATTATCAAATAAAAATGGTAAGTGACCCTAAACAAGAACAGCTAATACATTACAGAGTTTAGAAAGATAAATTAGACCACTCACTGAAGGGAATTTTGATAAGCTTGGAGGGATTGAGATTTTAGATCCCAAAAATTCAATAGGATTGGACCTAGGGACGTGGCTGGAGGGAAGAGCGTTTTAGGCAGGAATAGCAGGAATATTTCATAGTTCACAGCATTGATATGGTAGAGCAAAGGGCACTGTCACCGTGCTTCTGCTCTAATGCTAAGGGCAGCTGGGTGAGTGGCTCTGCAAACCAAGGAACAAAGTGTTTGAAATATTTTTATTGCAACAGGAGCTTCCCAGCAAGCTGAACTACACACAGCAGCCTGCACAGGAGTGCAAGTCAGGCAGAGAGATAAAGCAGCAAACAACACCTACTTACTTTAAAGCCTGAGCTTTCTGAGACTCAAAAAGTAATAGGCTTGAAAGGAATTTAACGTAAACGTGCCATGGAACAATTACCAGAGGTGGTTCAAATATGTTGTTTAATTAAAGTTTGAAAAGGTCTGGGGGTTCTTGATGGTTTTGGGATTGCATTTATTATTACTTTATTACTGTCATGTCTCTAAAGTTGAAACCGACAAACAATTGTAGAAACAGAAACAGTGCATCTGGCAAGAATCCTGTATCAACAGAAATTCTGGAAAGAAATGACCCTGATGTTAGCTCCAGGGCTCTTAAGTATTCTGAATTGTTGACATACCTGTACAGGCAGCAGATAATCTGAAAACAGATGAGATATATAGGGCTGATTTGTTGATAAAGACCTTGCAAGGATCTTTAACCCATCAGCTTCTCTCTCCTGCCTTAATATAGGTGAGGGGTTTTCATTGTAAATTGCTCCAGCTTTTGTTGTTATTTCAAACGGGGCTGAATGGTTTTAAAGTTAGCTGTAACTCCTGGGGGTGGAGGCTGAGGGGCAGAGGTGTATAGCAGCATTGTGAAATGAGTCTGTGTTGTAGGAAATTTTAAAAAGCCTTATATGGAAGTCACAGAAAAGGCATTAAGAATTCCAAGTATTAGCAAAGAGAAATTTTAAAGTATCCATAACCTAGTCATTGCACTTTGAAAGTACTACCACTTTACATACTACACTGTTTCCCCTGGGTGCCTGTGTAGGAAGAAAGTTGTGTTTTAAATTGTATGTAATACTTATAAAACACAATGAACAATATCTTAATAAAATGAGCAACTTTTTTTGAAATCTACCATAAAACCTTGAGGCATGCTATTTACTTTGATGGTTTCCCTAGCCACTATCTTTCGGATATGTGTGATCAGACGGAATTCTGGAAAAAGGACTGACAACTGGCTAAGGTAGCAAAAAAGGTGATTAATAGGTGTTACAGGGCAGGAGGGGCGCCGAGAGGTTAAACCTTGTTCAACTCCTGTATGAATTCTTTGATTGCCAAAAAGGAATTCCAGGAATGAAGCAATTCAGGAAGCGAGGTCACTAGTCATTCAGAACATAAGAGATATCAGGAGAGGGAAGAGAAGAAAAAAAAAAAAGAATTCAGTGGTGGGGAGGTAGAGACATGGCCATGCTGTTCTGAACACAATGTGTCACTAGTGCCATCTGACTTAATGTACCTCCATGTCTCCCTAACACAGCCCATGGGCCCCTTTTTGTCCAGTGTCTAGCAAATCAGTTGCAGTGAGTACTAAAAAAAAAAAAAAGAAGAAGTGTGTTTTCTTTTAGAAATTATTTTAATTATTATTTGTCAAAGGAAATAGATTGTTAACACAATGGTGATTACAAAAATAAGCTCTCCACCCCGAGGAATGGTTAGAACACATCTTTTATGGGTAAGGCCTTGAGTCAGGCAGGACCTGGTAAAGAGGAAAAAAAAATCAATGGAACAGTTGGTAATAATAAAAGTTCTTTGCTCTATATGGCACAGTGAAAATACAGGAAATTACCTTAAAGAGAAGAAGATCATTCACTTAAGCTTTTAAAAAGGCTTTTGTAAAGTTATCCATGTCCTGTGCTAGTGGTTCCAATCACGGGAACAGAGGATAGCTCACTTGAATTAGATATTCTAGGTATTTCTTGTTCACATTGGCTCATTCTCCTGAAGTGTTGTTTTGGATATCAACTTTAAATTCTTTTCCCATGTATTAAAATAAGGCTACCTGTATTTATATTATTTTATCTTCAAATAGTTAACCTTGATTTTATACTCCTGTGCTGATCAATAACAATTATTAAATCTTTATTTTTTTCTTTTCTGAGAGAACACATGTTATTGGCAACCTGTCAAAGATAGTAATGAAATATAACAAGTAGTTGCTAAAACCTCTAATATCTAAAAATCAGACATGGTTGATATGGCCTATAATTAGGTCATTTTGTTCTATCTCAGGTGATTTTCAGGAATTTTAAATTATCCAATTCTAAGGTCAATGTTTCCCAGCTATTTTGCTCATGTACACAAACGTGTGCAGACGTCACTACCATACTTCTCCCGGGGAAGTAAACAGTTAAAGGCAGTGTTGCCAGGGGGGATAGGCAGAGTCAGGAGACAGCTTAATCCTTGCATTAGAACAAGCTTTCTCACTCCCTCCCCTGCCTTATTAGGGTAAGAATAATAGAATTTCGGCCCTCTCACAATAGAAATGTTAAGAAATCTATTGTGTAATGTAGTTAATGGTGATTGGATATTGGACAATAAAGCAGTTGTTACGTTCTTAAGTGCTTAAAGATGAGCTGGGGAACCCAATACATACATAGCCTTAGAGAAAAATGCGCATTTACAAAAAAGAAAACACAATCGTCATTACCA